AGGGGGCCTCTCCCTCAAAGAAATACCCGCCTCCCCACCCGCCTTCCTGTCCTCCACGCCAGAAGTCGCCTCGAGCAAGGTTAGCGTTTTCGTACTGTATTTTGTTTCATATTTTTGTGGTTTTAAAAAAAAACAACATGGTTCAGAATGGATTAACCGTAATTACATTGAACCTTATGGGAAATTTGATTCGGGACGCGACCAAAAATCGGGTTGCAACCAAATTCGGAAGGGTCAGAATGGATTAACCGTATTTACATTGAACCTTATGGGAAAATTTTATTCGGTTCACGACCAATCCGGTTCGCGACCAGAGTCGCGGAACGAATTAAGTTCGTGAACCAAGGTACCACTGTATAATATAACTTTATCAAGAGTGATCCAAACTGCCTCAGCACACAATTTGGGTGTGTGTATGTATGTGGGTGTGTATCCATATATTTGCAGGCAATGTGTAAACCTTCTTTTAAGTTTTGTGCCTCCAAAACTGCAATCACTGTGAATTATTCTCTTCGCAGTCCCCATGAAATGAATGCCTATGATTTGCTGTACAAATATTTAATTGTGACTCCTGGACAAAATTAATCATGAATAGGTGTTAGAACGTATTAAAATGAAATAAACCAGTGTAACTTGAGTGAGTTCAGTTTTCAAAAACAGAATTCCGGGTTGTGCACGTACTATGCGTTAACCAGTATCTCTTTGAAAAACGGTATCCCCTGCTGCAAGTGGAGCAAAGAGCTGGAGATGTTTATTTTTTCAGTCTGCATATTCATCTCATGCATTGCTGTTGCTTGTCACATTATTATTTATAACATACCTAACATGGGCTTGGCTTCAACAAAAAATGTAAGGAAAGACACACGTATCTTCACATGCAAGTCCCAGCCTGCAATCTCATAATGTTGGCCTTTGCTTTATGGGATGAGATTATACATAGAGATATAGTTACTCTCCAACTACCATTATTTTGTACATTCTCATGTCCCTTTACTTCAGTAGCACTGCTCCTGAGAAAGAAGAATTGGAAAGCTACGACGTGGTCAGAGTGGCATTTGTTACCAGCCAAGACAACATGATCGAATAGTTCCCATCAGATAATTATGTTTGATACTTCCAGATGCAGGAAGAGTTTCTCATTTCCTCTACACTTACACATGTTTAGCTTTGGCTCCTCCTCCCACTGTTTCTTTTTTCAAGAGGGAATTTTGCAGAGTAGTTCTGCAGATGGAGTTACCAGAAGGAGAGAGAACATTTGTGAAATTGCACTTAGCAAGAGACTGTAGGTGGAGAATGAAGCCATCAGTAAACCTGGAGCTGTATTACTTGATGGAATAATTGGGCCTTTTGTAGTCTTGGTACAGTGATAGCAAGCTGAGCTGAATCAGCAAAATTTGTTGCCTCTAACACATGCACAGATGAACCTTGTCCAGCATCCAAATGAAAAAGCTGAGATAACTAAGAGCTTATGTGTGCAATAGTTAAAGTGTTGGGCTAGGAGTGGGAAGAGCTAGGATCTAGCCCACGCTTAGTGGCAGAAGGTCACAGAGTAACTTTGGGCCAACCGCTGTCTCTCAACCCAGCTTTCCTCACATAATTGTTGCTGGATAAAATGTAAGGAGATCCTCATACAAATAGTCCTTGCTTAACGACTGTAATTGGGAACAGCAACTCTTTGCTATGTAACATAGTTGTTAAGCGAGACATCACATGACTGCAGCAGACTTACAACCTCAATTCCATTGTGATCATTAAGCGAATCACCCGTGGTCATTAAGCGAGATGTCACGTGACCATGATGTGATTTTATTGTCAGCTTCTCCATTGACTCTGCTTGTCGGAAGCTGACTGTGAAGCATGCAAATGGCGATTGTGTGACTGCAGGACGCTGTGATGGTCGTAAACCCCTGCCAGCTGTGAAGTGCCTGAATCTCCATCACATGACTGCAGGGATGCTGTGATGGTCATAAGTGTGAGGACTGGTCATAAAGTTACTTATTCAGCACTGTCATAACTTAGAATGGTTGCTAAACAGGGCAGTCATTAAGCGAGGATTACCTGTATAAGCCAGTTTGTAGAGAAAATGGGATATAAATATAACAAATACATAATTATAATAATAAAACGTGTGAGAGAAAGCCTATCAGGTTGTGTAGAAATCCTCTGCTTCTCTCATAATGTTCTTCCTAATGCTCAAATGCTTTGTTTTCTACTTAAGCAGCAACCAGTACCAAATGCAAAATCATGGTTTGTAACATTATACAATAAGACAGCATGGCTGTTTGCTAAATCTCTTTTCACTGAATCTGATGGGGGAAGGGGTTTCTTTTAGAGTCTAATGCCTAAGGTACGGTGTTATTTTATAAAGGATTCATTGATATCTACATACTGGAGAAGTTTTCTATTTTTACAGTGCAATCTGTCACTTCTTATGTGCAAAGGATCATCCTTTTCATGTCAATTGACATTTGTACAAAAGATGTTGCGTTTGCTAGCCCTGTGAGATTATTTAAATCAAGTAAATTTACTTTATGCAGGCAGGGTGTTTGTGTGTGTGTGCGTGTCTATAGGACTTCCCATCCCCACATGAAAATAGACACAACTTAATTCTGTAATGTAATAAATCGCTGTTTTCCTTTCTTAGTTTTTTCTGATGTTTACATTCCTAATTATGGAAATATATACCTGCCATACAGAAGTCATACAGTAATGTCACTGCATTATAATATTTTAGACACTCACTGGTATTGTATCCTCTGGCTAAGCTACATTCAAATCAAATCTTTATTACGGTCATAGACCAGCATAGCTAAGCTACATTATATCTAACATGCTTTTTATGCATCCCTCCCTATCTCAACATCTGATCCCAAGTATAAACAAAGTTATGGGTGGACAAAAATGGATCCTGAAGAATCGAATAGATGCACAGTCAAATTGCTTGCACTTTAATATTAACAGGTTCTGTTGGTCTATGAGTGTAATGAAGATTTGATTTGATAATATCAACAGGAGTCTAATAAGCCACACAGCACTATCGTTCTACAATTCTTAGCATTATTAATATTAGCCATTCTTGTGATTTCAAAACTACTTTTGTTCATGAAGTCTACTGGCGCAATTGTCTTTTTTGCAGCTGTGCTATACGCTGATGACTCGGTGAAATGAAGTACATAATCCAGATGGAACACATAATAAGGCCTTCAAATTCCTTTTAGGTGACCCCTGCCCTGGTACAATAAGTATCTATCATATTATAAGTCCTGCAAAGGAGTGGAATCATTGCTTTCACTTTTATTTAGTGACATGTTCAAACCTAGTAATAAATGGCAAAGTATATCTCACTTTACCCTGACTACTAGTAATGCAAATTGCAATTCCTTAACTAACATGCATTTACCTAGTTAGCATCACCATAGGATGCAGTTGGAGAATATTCTTTTAAAATATATTTCAAGCTTACGATTAAAATGTTAGGTTTGTGTGGGTCACTATAAACCAGTTCTAAACATCTTAATGCTGTGACTTCGTACTAATTTATTTTAGGGTTTTATGCCTGTTTGCGAGGAATTCCCCTAATGTCCCAAGTCTTGACGGGCATAGATTTTGCAACTTTTATTTATCCTTAAATATATTTGGATAACCTTTACTTTTATAAATTATTTCCTGATCAGATGACGCCCAGCACATTACTTAATAATGATGTATTCATCTTTATTTTTTTACACTCTGAATTACTTACAATCATTCTAGCATGTTCATATGAGAGAAATAAATTGGAAGCAGATCATAGCATCATGATTCCAGTTTAAGAACCACTCCCTTCCTCTATCCTTTAGGAAAAGATTAATAGTTCAGTCTTCTTCCCCTACATGCTGTCCTTTCCAGAAAAAAAAATGTGTCTACTGAAACCTGCAGATACAGTTCATAGCCTGCAGAGGCCACTGTGATCCCTGTAGAACATCTCCTATCTTTAATGTCCTGCATTCAGCGCTTTGGTGGTGGGCAGGACAAGAAGCTTAGTCCCTTTGCTACTGTGTTGCTCCTTCCAAGAAGCAGAGGAGAATTTCTGGGCAAGCAAGGATCGGTCAGTGGGCAGAAGTAGATTAAAGAATGTGAAGGCAAATTCTTTTCTGCCTTCCCGTTGGTTTCTTTTTTTTTCTTCCTCTTTATGCCATGACAGTCCGTTTTCTCTTATTCTCCCTTTGTCGTATCTCTTTTAAAATTATTTTTAAAATATTTCTTCCTTTTTCATTCTTCTAGGGAACTCTACAAGCTGCTAGAGAAAGGAAAATCACCTGCTTGTAGAGAATTTACAAAATGAGACCAAGAACTGCACTGTCACTCTAAAACCAGTAGAGAAACAGATTTCCTGTCCAGGATCTCAACTGCAGAGTTGTTCAGGATCAGAAATGGTGATACCCTTTGCTGATACACCGTCTTATTTAAATTACCCATCCAAGCACCTGCCCACTCCAAATTCTAGAATGCCTCCAAAGTAACTCCCCTCTACTTGACAGATTTTCGAAAGAGATGCATCTAGCGGTCTGTGGGAGTGATATCTACATGGAGGGAAAGAAATTTGTATGGAGATGTTATAAATAAGTCCTACTGCACTTCTGGTGGCAGATTTTCTGCTGCTGAAAAAGGCACCCCGATAATGGTAGATTCCCCCTACAGCTAATAATGAGTGTGAGTCTCCAGTTCCAAGGTGGAGTCATTTGATTTAATGTGTTACCACATTAATAT